CGCTAAGTTTAATGCGAAGATAGAAGTTCGATTGATGAGTTAGACACAAGAGGACGTAGATGTAGACGTAGACACCACACGATGTGTTGAACAACATGACTTAATAAGCATAAAGAATTAAGAGTCACCTCATAGTTGTGATGTCTCTAATACGACGTCTCGATGATCATTATGCCTGCCTCTTCTAAGGGTTTTCTCCTTTCATCCGTACATCCCCAGTTTCACTTTTACTACTAACTCACTAACCATTAGCAAATCGTATTGGATCACAAAGCATAAGCATGTCACACAACAATACTACATGAAATATATATGAAGGGTAGACAAGTATCAAGGCATTTAAAGTACCACCATGTAACAATGATCATTCTCTCAGATTATGCCATGACTATTTAAAGATACTACCTGAGATGACTATCGCAGTTTTACATCGTTGTCAATGACGCTGACTATGTTGGGGATCTATGACAGAGATATGGCTAAGATATTTGACAAACTTCTGCTACGGATTGCACAAAGGTAAGGGATGAGGATGTCGGAAACAAGTCTCTTACAATTTTCGTCTAAAATAAACTCATGACAAAGTATGCCTTATTTCACACGAAAAGTAGCCGAAGGGCAAGATTAAGGTATGACCCTGATAGTTAAACTATTCATAACGACTCCTTATTAAAGAATCGAGACTGAAAAGATCATGCGCCAGGACCTATAAAATTTACAGTATCCAACCATTATTAGAGTTTTTTACACTTTAACGTGGTAAGTAGTATATTGAATAGACAGTTTTCCTGCACAAGGAACGAAAGTCTGTTATGGCCTTACAACTTACATATGGTTATGAAAATATAAACAAGGAAAGTAGTACGAAAGTAAAATCAACTTACCGTACACTAGCTAAAAATAAACGGAACAGTCAGTCACGAGTATATCTCTCCTCGACTTTTTGAGAATTTATGAGAGGCAATTAGAGTCATTAACCTCCTAACAACTTAAATTGACAGACGTGGTTACACATAATAACCCGACCACGTAAACAGAAGGAAGGATCCAACATACGCAAACACCTTCCTCAAATAGTTAACCTTACTTCTACCTACTATGTAAGAGTTTTACATGCACTAGTTATATTTCTGACATAGACTCCTAACTACCTTATATACCCAAGTCCATTTTTTAGGGATATTCGTAGGCAGTTGAAATTCTGGACAATGCGATATATGTTCCCGTTGTTGATGTGACTTCACATTCCTACATATAATACTTTTAGTGTCTAGCCAATGATAATTCAACTGACATGTCAGAAACTATATTAATTTATTTATCATTTTGCCGTAATCATCGTCTTACCATACCCGAGTTCGTTCACTCAGGACCTCGGCTGGAAAGTGAGATCCCCGGCAACGGCGCCACCTGTTGGGCACGACGGTCCCACACCCTGCGGCAAGCGTTATAACCTCACGGTCGTGTCACACAGGTTTAAGGTATTGCTTTTTGAGTCAGTTGGAGATACCACTCCAACCGTGCGTGCCAGCTATACCTCTCGAGGCTCCCTGCGACAGTACAGAGCTCCGCGAGGTAGAACTCACCTCTACCCGAGGGGCTGTCACCACCCTCAGGTAGGCGTATACCTGCTGATCTACAGACTCACTTGTGAAAGTTTTTTCTTGCAATTGCAGAGGTAAATCGGCCTAGGGCGTTTTCTCGATCGCCATAGCATAGTTATACGCGTGGTTGAATGCCTCAGACTGACTCGCTTACGCGTCAGGCATCGGGGCGCTGATTTCCCGAACTGACTTACTTTTCATGTCGACTTGACTGCCGATCGTTTCCATTTGCAATACATATTCGCACTTGACCAATAAATTATATGTGCTATATAAGTTCCTCCGAATCGATACACACATAATGAATACAGTTCAAAGATTGAAACTGAAAAGGCAAGGAGATGTCCTTACACTTTTTAACACAAGCAAAGACAAACATGAGGATGAACAAAGTTTTAACTTTTTTTGGAAGAGAAACAACATAGGCTCTTGGCTTTTCAAACAGACATCAGAAATAAAAGTAGGCTCATTGTCTTTCAAACATGCATAAAAAAATAGGTTTCTGGCCTTGTTAATTATCCTAATCTATTTAGCATAAAGAAGGAGTAGAGTATGAAAACCAAACCAAATGTACAAAGGTTAGTTGTCGATGAAGTATCTTAGTCGAGGCTCAGGCAAGCATTGCAATGCGAGTTGAGTGAATGACACATGGTTGGTCGTTTTACCGACCTGTAGACAGAATCAATCATATTACACAATCCTAGCAGAGTCAACCATTTATTCACTTCCACACACATTACACCCACGCTTCAAAACCTTTCAGCCAGACATTCTCTTTTCGACTTAGTCATTCGAGGACCTCTTTTGATTAAACACTGACCCTTTAGACAATGACCCGAGAATGAGAAATGCCATGTAGTGCAGAGGTAGATGCAAAGTGTGGGTGTCAAGGGTGAGTGAGGGTTGAGTTGGCGAACCAACCTGTTACCACATGGCCACAACATGTAGTCTTGCATAGACTCATAATGAGTCTTCTTGATTTAGATGACCCGCAATCACACACAAGTGAACAAAGTCTCAACACCTCCCTCACTATCGACATGGCCCTGTATGAAGTTCAACAATATGAACTTCAATTCTAACGGAGGACATCGATATAGTCCGATCAAATGTAAGTATAAAGGAAGAAGACCCTCACGGGAATCTTCATTTCATACTTAGTAGTCTGTATGGATTCGATTGAGCAGTAAGATGACTCAGACATGAGTATCCTACCATTTGTTCTAGTTTAACTGGTTTCGACTTAAAGAGACCATGGAATGACCCGCACATGAGTACCCCATTTTTAGTCTGCCAACCTAACAATCTAAGATATCTATACACGTAGAGGGGAGTAATAGGATGTTCCTCACCCTGAAACCTTATCCTATCACCCGTCCTACATACATACATCAATCAACTGTAAAGCAGCAGAGGGTCTGTAAAAAAACAAGGGTATACACGATGGGAATGAGAAATGACTTCGCCTGTCTTCTTATTTCGTGTCTTTGTTCTGTTTCTCATTCTCCTCAATCTTTTCTCCTTATTTCTTTCTTTATTCTTTTCTTTATTCTTTCTTTCTTTCTACCTTTTCGTTCCATCCTTTCTGTCCTTCCGTCTAGATGACCCTGCGTGCACTTGGACTTGCTTTAGGCTAGCGTGCACGAAGCCGACCATAGCTCTAGCTAGGCACGGGGTTCATATGCATAAATCTGATTGTGTTGCCAATCAGAATAAATGGTATACATAATATTATAACAACAACAAATAATAATAATAATAATAATAATAATAATAATAATAATAATAATAACAATAATAACAATTCAAAGAAGTGCCCTAGTGATGGATAAAAAACCAACTTGTAATGTCACTTTAAAGACCAGATAGTTCTGTACCAAGCAAAAAGAAATGTGCACAAAGTCAAATAAGAGCTATGCCATGAACTCTCATGCTCAGCCCCAACTTACCATCATCAACAACGTATACAATGTCACTTTTCTCTCTAGCGCCCAGCGTCCAGCCCACTATTCAGCATATATAGCATATCTACATTCATGCAACGAATCACATCGAAGTTGAAAATTGATGTATGTGACGTCACCATCTATGCAAACTGTTACCAGGTACGTTTCTCTGTCTCCCCCTCATCTCCCTTCTTCATTCACACTGCACCTCCTTCCTCAAGAACATCACCGCTCATTCCCCTCTCATATGCTGGAGTCCGCCTATGGCTCCTAGCGCCCCGCTGTACTTCTGCGCCCCACACCACTCGACACCCACGAGCGCACCCGGGTCAGCTTGCGCAGTTGCAGCAGCGTGTCTGCATTGCCAGCCTATGCCAGAATGCCTTGGACTGGCTGGCTCCCTCTCTATATGGGAGGTGCTGCTGCTGCTGGACTGTTTGGGCCTAGCCGTGGAAGTTGTCAGTAGTTTCCTGTTGGGCCCTAGTGTCTGCACCCAGGCTCGTTTTAACAGTTGAGGGCCTGGGCCTTTTATAGCTGGGCACGCTCAGATCTATCCAGGCTTTGAATATTTGCTGTACTTGCATTGGCCTGCGGGGCCGGTGCAACGACATTGCTGCATTCTCATTGATGTATCGACCTCATACTGCGTGTGCCCAGGGCGCATCTACCTACATTTTGGGCTCAACTTCTTGACGCAACATCTTTTGCTTCGTGAAAGAGACTGGATACTCAGGTTGCTTTCTAACCAACTGGCGTGCTGCAACTGTCTGAGTACCCACGTGTGAAAATGATGTCAAATTTATGGTCTTTTGCGAATAATCAGGCCCTCCCTCACTTAGGGTGGCACAACGCTCGCTGAGGCCACCAGTAGAGTAATAGTAGTACTAAGTAATAGTAATAACCTAAGTTGTTTGCCATTTCCGGCCGGATTAATTTACCGGAATATCCAACCATTTCATCCGGCATACTGTTCATCCGGAAAATGTCCGAAAATAAGGTTTTTTTTTTTTTTTTTTTTTTTTTTTTTTTTTTTTGCGCTTAAAGAGAACTGCCACAAGTTCTAATATTGGAGTTGTTTTGTGAAAAACCCATTGAATACCCATATTACTATGATATTAGTAAAATACTGTCAATTGAACTCCGTTCAGTGTTTAATACTGTTTATGTGGGTGTGTGTCATTCTGACTCATTCAAGAGTTGCCTCCCAAGGCGGTGAACAAACCGGGGAGGGGAGAGTGGGGGCGGGGAACACACACACACACACGCACATACACACACACACATACACACATACACACGCACATACACACCCATACACTCACAATCACACACACATATAAAAACTTCAACAGACCATGATCGATCAACACACCGGAAGCACAATCGAATCACCAAAGTGAACAAAGCAGATCACATGATGCACACTGTGACTATATCATCTACAAAAGAGGTATGAATGCACAGTTCATTCGTGTGTGTCTCTCTGTCTCCTTTTTAAACGTCACCCACATTCTGACATAACCCCCCACACTCCCACACCCCCCCCACATACTACCCACTAACCCCTACAGACCCCCATAAGCCCCCCATATTCCCACATACCCCTGACTGAACCCCACCAACCCTCGAAACCCCCCCACATCTCCTCTCTCTCTCTCTCTCTCTCTTTTTTTCTCTCTCTCTCTCTCTCTCTCTCTCTCTCTCTCTCTCTCTCTCTCTCTCTCTCTCTCTCTCTCTCTCNTCTCTCTCTCTCTCTCTCTCTCTCTCTCTCTCTCTCTCTCTCTCTCTCTCTCTCTCTCTCTCTCTCTCTCTCTGTGTCTCTCTAAAAAAGAGTCAAAATACTTCAGCACCCATCAACCAGTGTCTCGTCCTCTACCGTAGCTTCATCATCGTCCCCTCCGGCGTCATCGTCGTCATCATCACATGAGGGCTGCGGTGGAGCCTCGTACTCGCTCTCAGACCTGTCACCGCTGGCCTGCTCATCGGTGCCGTCATCATCCTCAACATGAACACACGTCCTCTTCCCCACAACAGTACGGGATCGAGTCCTCACTCCGTCTGCGGATATGGGTGATGGCGAACCTCCACCGATGGCACCCAATGAACCCAACAGCCTCTCCGTTGCTCCAGCGACACCCAACCTCCCTCTACCTCTGCCTGATCGACCCCTTGGGGGGTGCCCGCGCGGTCTACCTCACCCTGGTGGTCTTTGTGCTCGTGAATGCTCTACCGCATATGTATCAGCGATCTTCCTCTTCTTCCCTCTCGTCGCGGTGTTGTCAACAATGTCAGATGACACTCGGGCGGGCAGTGGAGGAAGCGCAAATAAATCAACCGATCCCCTTTGCAAAGGTTGTGAATGATCGCGAGCAAGTCGAGGCATCGATGAATCACCACTGCCATCGTGTGAACGTACAGCTACACTGGTCGTGGATGATGATAATCGTCCAACTGTAGTCGTGGATGCACGAGAAGATGAATGCAAGGGGATAGTCAATCCGGGTCCCCGCACCACAACAAAATGCTTTAAGACGGGCAACGGAGGAGCAGTATGGAATGGCGTGGGTCGAAGTGTGGCGGAAGACATCACATTGGCAAGGCTCCCTCCAATCATCGTCGTCGACGCTCTCTGTGACTCTATGCTCTCAAATCTGCGAGGGGGCTCTACTGATGCGGGAGCCACGTGCTGAACTGTGGGAGGGGGCTGTACTGAAGTCTGCACCTCTCTCTCTGTCTTTGCCTCACTGCCCAGCTGGGCCATAACATCTCGCCCCGCTGTAGACTGTGGATGTGGGGCAGTCGTGTCTGTACCTGTCTCCATGTCGCACGACTGATCGGGCTCACATCCTCTCACACCCTCCCCGATAACAGGGGCCACCTCCGAGATGGTGGGTGCGGGGGAGGGATGCTCGGTGTGACCTGTCCCCATCTCCTCCTGATTGAGACACGGCTGCCCATGGCTCATGGCAGCTGCCTCCTGCTCCTCCATGTCGGGAGTTGCCTCCATGGCAGCTGCCTCCTGCTCCTCCACATCAGGACACAGGTCCTCCCTGCCACGAGATGTCTCCAGCTCCCCAACATCGGGACGCTGCTCCTCTACTACACTCCCTGGGATAGGTCCCTCTTAAGGATGCCCGCCTGCCCCATCATCAAGAGGCATACCAAACAATGGAGTGCTAGCGGGGGTCACTGACATCTGAGGCGTGTGTGTCGCCCCTACGTCAGAGGTAGCGGCACTGCAGCCCGCCTCGCCGTCGAAGGCAGTCGAATGAAAGCCTGTGTCCACATGATGACCCTCATCAACCCGTCCGCTCCCCCCCTCCGACCTGCGACACTCCTCAATGTCCTTCATGATATGAAGGGTGTGTCTGGAGCCATGCAGGAACCCGTCGAGGTCCTCCACAACATGAAGGTTCCCCCACCTGTCCCACACACGAGACACGAGTGGGTCATCGTGCACCTTCTCCTTCCCCTTCCCCGTGGCTGCAATCTCCTCAATCATGTCCTTCCCCGCCCACACGTCATCCGCCTCGTAAATGGCATCCTCAGCCTCCACATCGTCATCATCTCGCGCCTGCAACAGGCGCGCACTGGCACGATCACCCCCCTCCTTGCGCCGGCTGCGCAATTCTGCCTCCAACTGCTCAGGGATCGTCATGCCCTCGGCGTACACCTCCTCTGAAGGATCGCCAACCACTGGCTCCGGCGGCTCCTCCACCAAATCCTCCCAAACATCCACATACCCCTTCCGGGAAGTCGACCTCGCTCGCAGAAGCTGCATGTTCCAATGAATGAACACGAGCTTTCGCAGACTATCACTCGAGAGTCTGTTGCGCCTCTTCGTGTGAATGAAGTCATGTGTGGCCCAATTCCTCTCACATGGAGAGGCAGTGGACCACATAGAGAGCACCTTGATGGCGACTTCCTGCAGCCGCGGGAAGTCGCCACCATGCAAATACCACCACCACGCGGGGTGCACCCTGTGCTTCGCCTGCGCGATAGCAATGGGGTCTGTCCACCATTTGGGCCTAGGGTCTGCATGGGGATCATCATGGTGGAACAAGTACAAGCCGTACCACATCGTAGTATGCTCCTCGAACCCCTCTCCACCATCCGCGTACGTAGCCAAATGGTGCAGTGGACTCTGCACCAATGCGCTGTCAGTGTCAGCGAGGAGACTCACATCACGCCATCGCGGGTCAACAAGGTATGCGAGCGCATGCACCGGCTGGCGCATCATGCCGCAACGGTAGTCAACCCTCTTCATAATCTCTGCCTCGTCTGCCTTTGGTAGGCCCATGTCGCGCACACGCGCTGCGATATTGTCAACAAACGCCCAAAGGGTGGTGGGGGAGGAACCGTCTTTGTCCATGGAACGCAACAGGCTATAAGCTGGCCTCATGACCTCCTGCACGTGGTGCGCACAATCCCAAAATGACGCCGACAACACAAGTTGTCGAACAGGGCGCTCATCCTGCCCCGCCTTCCCCCTCCAGAGGGTGCTCCGCCATCTCACACTGCCCACGACCATCCGCAATACCCTCTCCTGATCGGTAAGTCGCTCCACCATCTGACATGCTGACCCAAACCGTGTGTCACATAGCCGGATCAGCTCCAGCTGTCCCTGCTCCTTGAAGGACCGATGATATGAGAGGGCCTTGTGAATGTTCTTGAAGAACATCACAACCTTGTGTGTGTTCTTCAAGATCGGCCGCACCCACGAGAAATGTGTGATGTCGCGCAAGAGAAGACTCAAGCAATGAGCTGCACAGAGAAGCCAAGGGATCGAGGATATGTCTCTGTCCGGATGCTCTTGCAACCGCTGTGCAGCCACCTTGTTTGCATAAGCRTTGTCAGTGCAATAAGCATTCACATGCTTAACGTTAATATCGCGGATGACCTCCTCCCACAACTCTGCCAGTGCCACTCCAGTCTTGTCCCTCTCCGACATGTCAACGATACTGATCAACATGGGCCCGTCCTCGCCTGCTGCAATGAAGTTGACGATAGGCTTGTACGACCTTGTCGTTGACCCGTCCGTCATCATCGTGCACCCTGTCAACTTCCACTTTGCCTTCTTCGGAGCGACCCTCTCTGCTATCTCATGACAAATCTCGTCGAGGAGGCGGGTGCGCATGTCAGTGTATGAGGGGAGGACTAAAGCAGGCCCAATCGTGACCCTCATCAATGATACCATGAAGTCATGCAGCTCTTGCGTAGTCTCGAGCTGTATGAATGTGAATGGCACCCCAGCCCTGTACAAGGCTCTGGCCCACAACCTCTCATACTGCTGCTGCAGACCTCCCTTTGCCCAACTATCCAACCTCGTCTGCAGCGTGCGATGATCGTGGGGCACAACAACACCTGACGGTGCACGTGTGCCCTCTGTCTCGAGCCATGACAAGTCGACTTTTCGCCTTGAAGGCTGTCGTGCGGTGTTCTGCACCTGAGTCGACCCCTGCTCCGCCTCAAGGACGCGGACCCTCTCTCTAAGGATAGACAGCTCGTCGTATGGGGTCGACTCAGGTGCAGAACACCGCACGTCGTATGGCCTCAACTTGTCCACCTCATGCATACGTGCCCCTGGATTGATTTTTTTTCTGTTTATCTTCTCGTTTCTATCTGTCTCTATTTATGTGTCAATCTATCTATCTATTTATATATGCTGCTATCTGTCTACTAAACTCTATTAATGTATCTATCTGTTTGCATACCTATATGTTTATCTCTCTATATATGAAAATATACGAATAGATGGATGACGATGAATTGATGGATGGGAATGGGTGGGTGGGTGAGTGGATGGATAAATGGATGGATGGATAAATAGGTGGTCGGTGGATGGATGGATGGTGATGGGTGGGCGACTGGATGGACAGACGGATGGATGGATGGATGGATGGATGGATGGATGGTTGGATGGATGGATGGATGGATGGATGGATGGATGGATAGAGGGAGGGAGGGAGGGAGGGAGGGAGGAAGGAAGGGAGGGAGGGAGGGTGGATGGAGGAAGGGAGGCATGTACACATGCATGGATGGACGATCAGCGTCTGGGTGAATGGACAAATTGACAGATGGAGGGATGGATAGATCTATGGATGGATCAATGGATCGAGGGTGGACAAATGACATGGACAGATCAACAGATGGAGGAAGGGAGGCATAACGGTGCAGAATGCCTTTGCACATCCAGAGTCAGCAGTGCCTATATTTGGACATGTTGGGTAGAGGTGCAAAAAACGTGATTCGGCGGCATCTGTGCGCGAAGCACATCCAGGTTCAGGCAAATTAATCCAATCCAGTTTGCTAGGGGGACCTTGCTCCAGGTTCTTGGTCCCATTAGCAAAGAGGATTGGGTTTAATTCCTGAATGTGGATGTGTTTTGCGCAGACATGCAGAATAGCAGATCGATTGCAATTCTCTGCACCTCTCAAGAAACCTGTTCAGCTTCAGGAGTTCGATCCAATCCTCTTTGCTAGGGGGACATTGCCCAGGAGTGGCTAATTACAACCAATGAAATGCCTTTCTCTTTTAAAAAAATAATAAATAAATCAAAATACTAATGTCTGCCACCACTTGCAGCCGGCTGAGGAGGGGGAGGAAGGGAGAAGGGGGAGTATAGGGAGTACGGGGAGCAGTAGAATCGAAAAGGAGGGGGAGGAGGGGGAGGCCGGTGAGTAGGAGAATCACGGTGGGGAATAGGGGGAAAAGGAGTGGGAGGAGGGGAAGTAGGAGAATCGGGATCGAGATTAGGGGGAAAGGAGGGGGAGGAGGGGGAGGAGGAAGAGGAAGGGGCGTAGGAGAAT